GGCCGGCCGGCCGGCCGTGCGGACGCTTTTGCGAGGCTTATATCTCAGCAACCACTTGACCGATTTACACGCGGTAAATTTTGTAGGGTAGCTTCATTCCTTCTACCAAGTATTGGACTATTCCCGATGCATGTGGATGACCCCTTATGCACGTGCCACGTGCAAAACGAAGAGGTGTCAGTTTTGTAATTGTTGCAATATCTCGGTAACTACTTGGCCGATTGCGCTGAAAGTTGGCATGTAGATAGGCACCCACTAGGCACTGCATATCCATGTGCCAGAGTTGGGGTGCTGCTGCACGTGCGCACGTGCAGGGGTCGTTTCCAGATCTCGAGAACGGCTGGACCGATGGCGCTCAAATTTGGTACACGATTAGGGACCAGTTAGTAGGGTGCCGTGCACAAGTCAGTTGGGACCCATTTTGCACGTGCGCACGTGCAGGGTGCCACTTCCAGATCTCGAGAACGGCTGGGCCGATTGTGCTCAAATTTGGCACATCGCTAGAAACCGGTCAGTAGGGTGCCGTGCACAAGTCAGTTGGAGGTACCCCCTCGAAATTTCGCACGTGCAAGACTCACCCCCTCGCTCGCTCCGTTAGTCGCCCCAAAAGGCGTTATACTGGTATGTTATTGGTATTTGATTTCTACAGCCCAAAATATTGTTGGGTGTGTACAGCAAACTGAATGGAAGTGATGTGTACAAACATTTGAAGTATTTTCTGGACTGCTTGCAGTTAGAACTTGTTTGCTTTGTTGTAGGTGACAAGATAAGAAATTGAAGCAAGACTGACCAGTGACCAGTATGCTACAGAATAGGTAGCCCAATCTGCAGGAATATTAGAATTCAAAAGTGGAATTGGGACTTGGGAACTGGAAACTGCATCAACCATGTTTGCCAAAGTAGGTACCTATCACTATGTACCTAGTCCTACTAGGTAGCTGCTTGAATCTTTGGTCAAGGCTACTATGCTGCTTAATACAATTGTGGTATGCGGCATATTCATTTTATCATAGCTTTGAGTCAAATAATCAACAAATGCCTATAGTGAGTCATGGGTTGAATGAAATAAGTTCAATAAAAATGTCGTGTGAGTCATGAGTTGATTTGAATCGATTCATCAAAATGTGTGAGTCATGAGTTGATTCGAATCATTCCGTTGGCTAGTTGCTCGAGTCATGAGTTGATTCGAATCATTTTATCGAGGAACTTGATGAGTCATGAGTTGATTCGAATCAATTAAACTTAACATCATGAGTCGTTTGATGAATCGATTCAAATTTCCAGACTCAAACAAAGAATCGACTCAAAAAAAATTTGAGTCGTTTACAAGTCTGCCAGCCAGGGAGGGGTGAGTGGGGACAGTGTATCAGTGGACGGAGGGGGCGGGGGTACACTCGGTGCACGCGCACTCGGTGAGGACCATCACAGACGCCTGACGGGAACGCTCATACAGTGGACTGTGGAACACATTTGCAGAAAAAAAAATCAGACTCCATAGAGTCACAGTGGCAGATTTCGCATAAAAAGAAAATCATCAAAAGACGCCACTAGGTGGTATAATTTTCATAATCAAGAAAATACACAAGAAGGAGGGTGGAAAACACATGTGAAAATAAATAAAACCACATGCCACTCTCGTTACATCCGTAATACAGAAGCCTATGGTAAAACATATAGGGAATTGCCACCTCACAAATAAACCTCTCTATAAATGAAGGTATGGACAAGAAAGTCCCATTCCACACAATCCGGCGGCTTTAATAAAAGTAAAAAAAAATCATAACTGAAGGCAGCGGCACCCCTCGCTGCCAGCTCCGTCCAACACAGCCAGCCACCCAGACGGTGCGCTCCACAGCTCAGCCGCTGCCGCTGTCCCACCAACTGATGGTGAATCGGCTCCACCAGGTCAGCGGCTCGACGCGCCTGGTCCCGGGCTCCAGCGCGCAGCGATCCAACAGTGAATACACGCCGAGTTTGCGTACACGTCACTCAAATCACATTCACCGGCGTTAGGTGTGGAAGACAGCAGCCAATCATCCAATGGGCGCTGTACATACGGACCGCCGCTCCCCATCCCAATAACGGTGCGACTGCCCGGACTGACAGCTACCCGAGCAGACCCCGAACATAACCCGAGTAGACCCCGAGCAGACCCCGGTAACGTACTGCCGCTCCCCATCCATATAATGGTGTGACCGCCCGGACTGATAGCTACCCCGAGCAGACCCCGAACATAACCCGAGCAGACCCCGAACATCACCCGAGCAGACCCCGAGCAGACCCCAGTAACGTACCGCCGCTCCCTATCCATATAATGGTGTGACCGCCCGGACTGACAGGTGGGCGGTGTTTCACCGACGCTGCCAGCACACGTGACAATTTGGGCTTCCATTGAAACATCAACAGACCCATAGCTCCAACACTAACCACAAGTATGGCGCCAGCTCGCGAAATGCGCTGGCAGTGGCTGGCAGCGTGGCCGTGAAACACCGCCCTGACCTCAGTATGCGAGTACATTGGTCATACCCCAATCAGCCCAGCCCGCTGACTCCGTCTGGCGCCTCAATTCCGGCTCGCAGTGCTGACACAGCGGCGTGCAGCCAGCAGGGCAGACCGCGGCCCATTCACTCTATGTTAATACAGGCAGCGGTGGCGGGGTGGCCGTCCGAACAGTGGTCCGGGACACGGCGTCCGTCCGTCACTGCGGGACATGTGACGTCACTGTGGCTAGGTGTGACGTCATCCAGCGCCGTGGAGCCGCTGCCGACGGTCGAGCCACGCGGCTCCCTGGTGCTCCCGGCCACTATCGCTGCTGCAGTGCTCAACAAAGGCATCGCGGCTCTGCCGTGCCCGATTTCCGCCCCTCTAACCGCTGCGTGAAGTGGCATTATGACGTCACAGGGAGTGAGTCAGCGCCGCGCGCGCCGGCCGGCCGACAGAACTGCCGCCCCGGCACGGCGGCAGCGGGCCGAGCGTCGGCACAGTCGGCACTCGGCGGCCCAGCGGCGGTGGGGATGCCGGTCTGGGCGGCAGGACGGACAGCTGAGCCGCCAGAGCTGCCGGTTTGGGCGGCGGGACGGACAGCTGAGCCGCCAGAGCTGCCGGTTTGGGCGGCGGGACGGACAGCTGAGCCGCCAGAGCTGCCGGTCTGGGCGGCGGGACGGACAGCTGAGCCGCCAGAGCTGCCGGTCTGGGCCCGCAGCCTAATCACTGATCAGTGAGCACATACTTAATTGATGTGATGTGATCACAACCTAACCAGGCACGATAGCCACGGCCCCACCGAATATGTAAAACGTGAAAATACGAAGAAAATTACAACATAAATTACCGACACCAAGGGCGCATAAACATCCTCATAAAGAATAAAGACTCTTCAATCCAAAACGTGAGTTCAGTCAAGGTTCAAAGCCCAGTGCGACCACCATATTTCGCCATGTCATTGCCGTCAAAGTTCAGTGTTAGCCCTCGCCGGCCGGGGAGTGTCATGATAGTTTTTCGCGAACAACTTCCGATCAAATTGAGCTAGCGAGTCGGGAAAGCCACCAATGGACTCGGGAAGACCTGCCAATCGAATGATGTGCGATATGACCTCCTTCAACAAGCTTCGTGACCTGGGGGGGGGGGGGGGGGGTTCTGACCTGACCGTGACCTAAGGTCAATACCCTAAGTTGACCTCACCCAAACAAAAAGTACATATATCATTCGATGCGCCCGAGCGAGGCGATCACGATTATGCCAAAAAACGCAGCGCTGCGACCGTTTTTTGCGAAGTTATTTATCAAAACCGAACCCGTACCTCGCAGCGCTTGACCTGACATCTCAGAGGTCACCGGTTTATCTGAGACGTTAAAATTGGGTATCAATCTCTGCGTCTCGTAGCGGCGCACACGCTAGTTTTTTCCGCGGCGCTCTAGCTCCATCAGGGACGAAACGGCGAGGGGGGTCGTACCCCCCCCCCCCCTCGGCCGGCGCGTATGTAGAAAGCCAATAGGCCCGGCGAGGGGGTTATGTGCCGAAATGTGTCCCAATTGAGACACTGGGAAGTCTGGCGCTGCCAAAGACGGCGCTGCCACTCAGGCGTCCATTTCTCCCACTTGCGTCAAAGATAACCAGAGATTACACCAACTGCTGGACTATCTCTCCTGTTGTCAATCGGGGCCAAGTACTAGTACAGAGCGGCCACTTTTAGAGGACCACACGCCCGGCTCAGAGTGCGACCACAAACCCGGCTCAGAGTGCAGAGCAGCCACTTCTCGGACCACCAGCCCGGCTCAGAGTGCAGAGCGGCCACTTCTCGGACCACCAGCAGCCACCCAGCTGGCCAGTTCCGTATCCGTATGTTGGTAACCGAAGGCGTGCTGCCTTTATTCATGAAGCCAGTAGACAGATTCTGTCCGCACCTTTTGAGATGGTCACCACGGCGCGGGGCCGGTGTATAATGTGCGTACTTTTTGAGATGGTCACCACGGCGCGGGGCGGGTGTATAATGTGCGTACTTTTTGAGATGGTCACCACGGCGCGGGGCCGGTTTATAATGTGCGTACCTTTTGAGATGGTCAGCACGGCGCGGGGCCGGTGTATAATGTGCGTACCTTTTGAGATGGTCAGCACGGCGCGGGGCGGGTGTATAATGTGCGTACCTTTTGAGATGGTCACCACGGCGCGGAGCGGGTGTATGTGTGCGTACCTTTTGAGATGGTCAGCGGCGCGGCGCGGGGCGGTTGTATAATGTGCGTACCTTTTGAGATGGTCACCATGGCGCGGGGTGGGTGTATAATGTGCGTACCTTTTGAGATGGTCAGCGGCGCGGCGCGGGGCGGTTGTATAACGTGCGTACCTTTTGAGATGGTCAGCGGCACGGCGCGGGGCGGTTGTATAATGTGCGTACCTTTTGAGATGGTCAGCGGCGCGGCGCGGCGCGGGGCGGTTGTATAACGTGCGTACCTTTTGAGATGGTCAGCACGGCGCGGGGCGGGGCGGGTGTATAACGTGCGTACCTTTTGAGATGGTCAGCGCTGGCGACCACTGCGACCGTAGAATGTCCAGACATATGCTGCCATTGCTGTTGATGTTCGGGTGGTAGATTCGTGTGGTAAACGCCACCTGAACGGGAGGCACACCGAGTCAGTACCGCACGAGACAACACGTCAGCACCGTGCCAAAGACAACACGTACAACACAACAGCAGCGAATGACAAACACGAGACAACACACACAACCAGGGTTGGCAGGGGGTGGCAAAAACTGGTTTTTGCCAGTGGTTTTAACCGGTTTAAACCGGCTGGCAGAAACCCTTGGTGGCAAAAACTGGCAAAAACTGGCTAAAACTCAGGTGGCTAAAGCTACATCTTTTCTAGCAAGGAATGGCTTTGAAATGTACTTATGCATTTCTGGATATTATAGAGGCGCACTAAACATTCTGAACTTTGCCTCATTACTTATCCCTGCTTAAAATGTATATGCATTTCGGTAGACATCCACCACCCTAATGCATTTCCATGTATAGGGGAGAGTGGGGCCAGGGCTGTCTCATCCCTATCTCCGTAACGTGTCGTGTGCGACCAATGACGTCACGGCATTGCGGCGTTCTGATTGGGCGGCAGCTCCGAATCGCCCGACTGGTGGTCCCCGCTCGACAAGCGCACGTGCACCGACTATAGGCATTTGTGGTGGCATTGACGGCAGAAAAAGTGAGCTAATGCAGAGCTCTGAATATACTTGAATAGTGTCTAAGCCGGTAGTAATACGTAAAAACGTCAGATAGGTTTCTTGTTCGTCTTGATTTGAGCTTTTATATGATACGATTTTTACCTTGGTGTCGAGTCTGGCAGCTATGTGGGAGAGCCCTGAAGTTGGGTCATTTTCCATAGGATTGCATTACAGCCGTCCGACGCTTCGTACCTGTGACGTCACGGAAATCGCTGCTTTGGCCTAATGAGCATACCTTCTATATAGGGCCTTGGAGTGGGGCAAAGCGGCCACGGTAAGTAAGGTGCCGTGCGGTGCCGTGTGCATGTCAGCGGCAGATACCCCTTCGCACCTCCTATTGTGCAGGACTCACCCTTGCACTGGCTCATTTGTGATCCCAAAAGGCGGCTTACTGGTTCCTTATGGAAAGCCCATGAAAAATGTTTTTGAGTTATGAACCACTTCAATGGTCAACGTCACTACTGTTTGAAAGCATAAAGCTTTCATTGAATTCTCCTTAAAATGTTTCCTGTTCAAATCCATGTTTAGGCATTGCATTGTGATGGTTTTTAGTTTTTGCCAGTTTTTGCCACTTTTTGCCGGTTAAAACCGGTTTAAACCGGCAAATGGCATAAACTAGTTTTTGCCGGCAAAAATGCCAACCCTGCACACAACACACACGAGCGCCACAAATACCTACGACCAGCGATGAAAGCTTATGATGAGTTCAGTTGTCCACGCCTGGCATCACAAATAAACAATACGTAGCTCTATGAAAGACAATCAGTCAGCAGCAATCGTCAGATATGTATTGCACAACACTGGCAACATGACGCTGATTTAACCCTCGCCCATGTAGGGGGGGTTGGTGCACCCCCCCCCCCCCGAGGTTTTTCGGAAATAGTGCAAAAACGGCGGCCCGCAGCGCCGCCAAATTTTGGGTACCTTATGGGGCAAACCTTGCGCATCTTTTGATAAAAAAAAAATTTGACCGGGTCATGTCAGGTCACGGAGTTATGACGTCACAAAGGGAACAGCCTCCGGCCGGATTTTCACAAACTGAGTGCCAACGCCCGAGGTTTCCTGCCGGTGGTACGGAGATCGGTTGATGGATCGTGATGAAACTTCCCATGCATGTTGGGGCAAGTATTGGCTATCATATGGTATAAGAAACTTGACCGGGTCAGGTCAGGTCATGGAGCTATGACGTCACAAGAGGAACAGCGTCCGGTACTATTTTTGAAAAGCGCCCGAACCACTATTTTGCTAATTCTTGTCACCGCAATGGGAATATGCAGCAATATTAGCTTCTATAGGGAGCAAATGGACTTCCCAAATCCAAAAATACAATCAGATTTCAAAAATTTAAATTTTGATTTTTCGAATTTCTGCCGCCGACTGTGACCTTGCCGACTTCCGGCGCTCCCAACGCGCCATTTTTAGAGCTAGGGAAACGAAATACATACCAAACGATAGAGAATTGATCAAGAAACACGATAGTGAAGGTTTCAAGTCGATATCTCCCACCGTTTTGCCGCAATCGCCGCCGAAAGTTGAAAAAGTCTATTTTTCCGAAAATTTGACCTTTGACCGGTCAAAAGTAGGTCAAATGTTGACCTAGGACCAAAAAATATACCACCAATCGCGAGATCTCGGCGAGAGCAATCCGTTGGTCTTTTCCGCTAAGCTCTACGACGCTCCGTTTTCAAACGCCAAGGGGGGGGGGTCGCACCAACCCCCCCCCCCCCCCCCTGCATGGGCGAAGGTGGCAGATCGCCGTTTACGGGCGAGGGTTAACGAGAACCAGGTCAAATCAGTACTGCTCAAATAATATCGGCCGCGTAAACGCTAACAATGAAAGGGATCACGTTCCATCAATCCAGAACTAACCGCACAAGCCCTGGACGATGCGACATTGATAGGACCAAGGAATTAAGAACGCACCGATACCGATATCGATCAGCCTTCCCGTAGTGAACGTCTGTATCGACTCGCATCTCTCAAATATCGAGGGAACGGCGTCAAAGATTGCACAGCGGTTCGTCTTACAATTTTGAGAACATCATTAGTTCATCGGGCATGACGTGAAAACACATTACGACAGAGCTGACACCATCACTTAAAAAATGGCCACAAATGCCGCTAAAGCAAGGTTACCTACCTTTTACGTTTAACGAGCTGCGAGTCTCCAAAAAAAACACACACTCATTAGCACGCTCGTTATTTTCGCAATACCTTTTCTGGTTGTGAGTGGAACAAGTACATTACAACTTTGGCGGCTAGTCTGTGACTCACTATTGGTGGTTTTCAGGGGTAGTTTGGCGGTTTGAAGGGATAATTTAGCAGTTTGAAGGGGTAGTTTGGCGGTTTGAAGGGGTAATTTGGCGGCTTGGAGGGGTGGTTTGTAACTCACTTTTGGCGGTTTGGAGGTGAATCTTTAACTCACCTTTGGCGGTTTGAAGGGGTAGTCTGTGGGGAAGTGAATTGTGAGGAAGAAGACGCCCCCCTGGTACGGACTGTCGGGCGGGCCCATAATAGTCGCCTGCCAGTGAAACACTGAAACAAACAGAACACACCACGTAACGAATACACCACATGGCCAAAAAGACATGAGGTAAACGAATGAAGATAATGATTATTATGATAATCTGGTGTATGGGAGGAGTGATTTCCGAATTCAAATGACATCGGCGTCCAACAAGGACTGCAAAAACACGCCTGACCAAACGCGGCCCACAGATCTCTAGCTCTGCTAATTCATTCCCGACTCATGTCCTACCAGCTCCCATCCTTCCCAGTCGTACCCGTCTAGCTCATAATCATTCCCAACCAACCAAAAATTGCCACCATCAAACACTATCCATCAAGCTCTCAGTACTCACAGTCGTCTCCTACTGGTCCCGCTGAGCACTGTGCTGGGGGGTCCCGACCCAGGTCCTGTAGCTCCTGTGAACGGAAAAACAACACCTTGTTACACATAAATACACTGAGCACTGTGCTGGGGGGTCCCGACCCAGGTCCTGTAGCTCCTGTGAACGGAAAACCTGCACTGCTTTACCATAAGCAGGTTGAAGTTAGGTACCATAAACGGGGGTGACTTTGTATCACTTTTGACCATTATGGTACAATATCCTCTATATCACTTAAGATTTCACTCTGGAAACTGTTTCATCATACCAATTGGACAATTCTCTTGCCACACTGCTCATGCCCCTCCCAGTTGATTGTCTTTTTCACTTCTCATTGATGCTCCAATTACCACTGTGTGTTAGAGCAGCTCAATGCTCATCTTCCATCCTCAGTATCTAAGCCTTCACTTTCTCTTTCTTTATCAGGGTCATTTCTCCTCTTTACCATTATTATTGCTGGAGATGCTAGCAACTTCATACTTCAAGTCAATGACAAAAAAAAACAAGCTGTGACATCAACATGATTATCTTAGCTTGAACTGGGACCAAAGTGTCTACTATAATGCTTCATTGGTTTATTTAACCATTGGCATAGAAAATACAGTTCACAGCAGCAAAATGCTCATTTTAGGCCCAAAAGTGGTCTATGATCAGTCACCCCGGGTATCATCATCATTGTCACCCTGATTTACGGTACTTTCCATATTGTATTGGTGCTTTTCAACTTGTTTGAGCCATGAATAATTATCAGATATGAAATCAGGTCAAAGGATATCACGTGATTTGCTTCTTTATTGGGGATTGCACCAAAAGTAAATTGGTGACCCGTCCTAAAGCAGATAAATACCCAATTGTCTTGTCTGCTTCAAAATTGTATTAGAGTTATGAAATCAGGAGGTCAAAGGATATCACGTAATTTGCTTCTTAATTGGGGATTGCACCAAAAGTAAATTGGTGACCCGTCCTAAAGCAGATAAATACCCAATTGTCTTGTATGCTTCAAAATTATATTAGAGTAAAATTAACAATATTCCTGTCCCTAACAGCCCACTTAACGCATTTTTAATCCATCATTTACACCAATAAGTTTAAAATGGAATGTAGTGCACAGCACAAATAAGTTGAAATGCACAAAAAGAACAAGGGTAGACGAACCATTTACCTCACTTGCATGCATTCACTTCTGGTACACTCAACTTACCTTATTAATCCGTTTTAGAGACATTTTATTTGTTTGTGATTAGGAACCCTTGTCTCCCAAGGATCTATTAAACCGAACTTAAAACAAAACAATCCACACAACACCACCCGTCGCTCACAATCCGACGACCACACAACACAACTTCTCACAAAGATGGCTGAAAACAGTTGCGAATCTTGCGAATCGCGTATTTACAAATTGCAACCGAGCTCCGCCGTAGGGTATTTTATTTCCGCCGTAGTGTATTTCACTTGGGGTATTTTCTACCATACATCTGCCTGAGCTTGGGGTAATTACAATTTGTCGGCGACGGTCAAAAATGATGCACCTTTTTCGCAGTATAGGTTATCGCATGTGCATATTTTTGCCTTTTGGTTGCGCTTTTCCCTCGCCCGTATAGGGGGAGGCGTTGAGCGGACCCCATCGGTTTTTCGTGAGTAACTCGCGTAAAAACCGTCCGATCGCGACGAAACTTTCAATACCCCCGATTTTATCAATTTTACACCTACCCTGAAAATTTCATGGCCCTGACCCAAATGACCTTTGACCTGTGACCTAGGTATTTCTCGAGACCATGTTTGGCCCGAATCGCGATTCGGCGTATGTCGGCTCGCATTGGCCGCGCGTTTGCAGTCTTTACGTGGCTTCAAGCGTTGAAAAATGTGATATGATGCTGGTCCCATGCATTAGGGTGGGTGTCAAGGTCACCTGAAGGTCAGGTCAGCTCAATGACCTTTGATGACCTCGGTTCACTTTTTCGAGTTTTACATGTTTCTAGGCTAGTTTTTGGAGCTGATTTCGAATTTAGCAACCATTTGAACATTACAGCTGGGGGTGTAACGAAATTATCCGGACACCTTTCTTCCCGCTGTAATTAAAAAGCAAAACATTCTGGTACTTTTTCTTTTAACTGAGCATGTAGCCACCTTTCATAAAAACACAGTGGCGAATGTTCTGGAGCATTTCAGCCACTGGATTCTCCAGCACACTGGCTTTAATGCGACGCCCTCTAAACCTGTGCCTGCGGTTGGGCGGTGCTTGTGGCGGGCGTCTCTTCAGTCACCTGCTGAACAAGAGCCCACAGGTTTTCGATTGAATTGGGATCGCGACTTTTTCCAAGTCATAAGCGTTAGCCCAGAATGATTGAAGGTTCTATCGGCATCACTTCCCGTTCTTTTAGGGACTTTTAAGTAGCGCGCCGCCCCGCATGAAGACAGCGTGGCTTGAATCAGGCACCATGACCAGTGCGCGTTCAGAAACCGAGCCCTCCTATACCGTCTGGTTGAGCGACTCCAACCAATTAGGACATAGTGTCACAAAATACCGCGTTCAACGTCAAGTATTACCGGAGCAACATACTGGCCAATGAATGGTTGGCAACCATTCATTGGCCAGTATGTTGCTCCGGTAATACTTGACGTTGATCGCGGTATTTTGTGACACTATGTCCTATTGGAGCATCGCTAGGCAGCTGAACATGCTCCAGTTCTGGATATTGTCCGGATGTTTGACGGCGGCGAAGGCCAGCAAGTTCGAGCGGCTGGCCGCCCATACATGGCCGATTTGACGGTTCAAAGGATAATACAGCTCGAACGGCTACCCATCCAACCAGACCACCTCACCCTTATCTTTGTTCAACCAGTGGACGCGATCTGGCGTGAGGCGAAAGGTGGTGAACTGGTTATTTTCCCGTCAGTTTGATTGGTGCCGTTTTCTTGCTGCTATCTTGATGACTCTCCTCACCACTTGACAAAGGGCGGCTTTTGTGGTCGCGACCGGGCTGAATCTGCCACCAAAGTCCCAGCTTATTACGCCTCAGGCAGATGTGCAATTGGCTGCTGCTGATGTCCAGCTGCTGGCAGAGCAGCTTCTGGCTCATGACGCCGTGGATGCCGCTATGCAATTTTACCACGAAAGGAGAGATTGTATCCCTTTCTCGCAACTGCCTTGGACGAAAACTACCGTGTGAACCCGTCTGTGAATCGACTCCTCCTACTCAGAGCAACAGTCACACTCACATGACAAGGTCAGGTCACTGCTGAGTTGAAAAACCGATAGCAGAGGCACGTATTCATCCAATATTCCCACTTCTAACATCAGAAAGGATTAGGAAACTGCGCAAACAGATATGGCGAAAAAATAGATGCCCGGATAATTTCGTTACACCCTGTACTGAAGTAGTTTCGGTGCCTTCGTAACAAGTTACGAAGCTGTCAGAGAAAAAATAGCGTTCTGGCCCTCCAACTTTTGCTGATTTGTATAGAACTTCGTTGCTTAGCAAACCACTATGTTGTTCGCATTAAGGAGCTTTGAAATGTCTGTGTAATTCAAAATGTTAGTTCTGTAATTTAGAGAAATGATTCAGTGTTGCACATAATCTAACTTAACAACCGAGCATTGCAGGTTTGACGGCTTTTTGCCCCACCACCTTCCCTGGAAAAGCTCCACCCTTGCATATGGGGCAAAGCATAAGGGACAAAAACACAAAACAAGACAGATAAAAAACAAAACAAAATGAACTCATTACCTAATGAAGTTCAGTCTGGAGCAAAAACATAGGTAATAGGTATCTATGTCAAATTAGAATGAAAGATTAAAATCAACCTGACCAGGCCTTACGGTCTGACCTGGTCCTAACCGCCTTACTTCACCTAACCAATTCAACCTAAGCTAGGTACCACAACACCTGCAGAGGTACCTTCCTGGAAAATGACGCCCAGGGAGGTGTCCAACTTTTTGGAATATTACCATGATTGCTTGTCAAAATGTGTGTCATCATGGCCATGCTCTTGTTTGACAAGTGATTTATAATAAATGTGACATTCAAAAATGGTCTCCTGACTGTTGAGTGATCAGAATATTCAAATAATCAGGGTACAACGCTGTGCATAATAGTGCAAACTAATCATGTTGTTTTGTGTAGGCCCTCTGCGCATTAGGTATGTATTGTGTACACTGCCATGTGCACCTTAAGGGAAAAAGTGACTGGTGGTACATGACAAAGGGTTGTGCAACAGTGAAGTTCATGCCCTTGGTCTTGCTGGTGCCAAATGCCTATAGCTATAGCAGGATCAGTGAGGGTTGTAGACATGCTAATTACACTGTGCATTGAAGATATTGGCACAAAGTTCATCCATAATTACTATGCTTAACACCTAATGTAAGAAGCAATATAAATGCCCAGATGATACAGCTCTTTGGTCAACATCACACAAATTTATTGACATATTTTGCAGGTACATATTCACATTCATAGCAAATACTTTCGATTTGATCAATAATTAGGTGCTAGTAAGCTTGTATTTTTGTAGGTACAACAATGACCATACATTAAATCATAAAACAACCTTCTCGTGGCATTCATTGCATACCTTTTTACCGAACAAGTACCTGTCTACCATGCAATGACTCTAAATTTTGTCCGCAATCCACCTATATCTCAACTGACACATTGAAATTGAAATACCCTAACAAAACCTAGAACTGTACATAAGAAGAATGCAATACTACAAGAACTATGAAGTTCTGAAGTTATTCTCACATGCTGGAATGTTGAAACTTTACTTTTGTCGTCCATTTCCACGTTTGATTGAGCCATCATATAGAACTGTTTTCGCTCTTCAGTCATAAGCAATTGCACAAATCTTGAATTTTTACACATCATCTTGAACCATGCTCCAGTCTTTCCAACAAGGTACTATGGAACATCAAAGCATTTTTGATTTGTTACAACAGCTTCAGATCATGATGATAGGCTTGAAATTTCAGTTTGTTACACCATTTGCCAGACAAACCTCGACAACATGTGTATCAATTCCCAAAATAAGCAAATATCAGTATTTGCAGTTTCCACACAATATTTCATTAAATTATTCGATTTTTATATCAAGAAACTCAAATAATCCACAAATTGTTATTGAAACACTCCCACTTCAAGAGCTCACAGCAAGAACAATACAAGTTCAGAAGCAAACAAACATTGCGCCAGATTTCGTATGAAACGCGCCATCATCTTGAAGTTTCTACCACAGACGGTAGTTCAACCGCAGCCGTAGTGCAAAAACCCCTGCCCACCTTACCCCACGGCGGAGCTCGGTTGCAATTTGTAAATACGCTTGCGAATCAAGGTCCGTAAACAGGAACACAGCTGAGCGTATAATCAAAAGTTTGATATAAATTAAAGTCAATTAATTTTTTATTTAGATTAAGGAAAAACGGAACAATCTTAGTGTCTAATAAATATTGAAAAATTTTGTAACAAAACGTAGAAAATGAATATATCCCAGAACATTCAAAAATACTTAATCCTTATTTTGCAGTCGTTTTCATATCGTAAAAATACAGCCCTCGTCTCACAGTGGGATAGGTACAGGGACCCGCAGTTGCTACTGTACACATATATTACCAATTTAGAATTGCGCTATTATTTGCTAAGTGCCGGCCATTGGAGAAAGGAAATGTAGCGCAAAGTATGGAGGAATAACACATGTTTGCTCCTAGGACGTATGTTTTGTATAATTCCTCTTACCGCAACAGATATTCTTCCAAAACTACAATCGTGCTATTTTTCCGCGCCGGTTGCCTCCCTAGAGCCCGTCCTTGGTATCGCCTATAGCTTCCGTTCCCGCTACGTGAATGAAAGTCACGTGACTACTACAGGTTTGCGCTCAGTACTAACACACCTAGCCCGAGGGCCGGTCCGTAGCGGGGAGGGGTAGAACGCCAGAGCTCCAGCGCAGTGGAGGTGGTGGTGGCCCGTATCATAAAGAGGCAACCGTAAGCAGAACTACAATTGCCGCAGTATAAGATTATGATCAAGTTTTCTTTAGATGTATTGATTGACAAGAAATTGCAATGCTTATCCGATATAATAAAACGGTGTCCAAGGCCTTGGAAGAACTATAGAATTTATTCAGCAACGTATAAATTTCTGATACAGGCCATGACCTTTCACCTTGCCTCCGGGGAGGACCGCTCAGGAAGCCACATACCGAACGAATCGAGGCCTCGCAGCGCGGCGGCAGAGGAGGTAAACCATCGCCAGATCTTTCGGTTACTTATGTTTCCAGAAGAAGGAGGGGGGGGCGGAGGGTGAGGGCTGTTTTCAACCCACTCACCAATCCTTTCCTTATTAACTTATAACTTACCGAAAAAATGCAACACAATGGTGGTCGT